AGAAAATAGATATATTTGAGGTGAGTTTACTAAAGTTAGACTTAGATTTGATATCCACAGTCCTATGTTTAAATTTTAAAAGTGTATATGGAGCTCTAGCTTCAGTACGATCGATTTACAACAGACAGATTATATGGAAAAAAAATCCTAGAAACTTCAAATATTTTAGTGTTTTTATAAGCTGCTCATACATATTCTTAATAGAATGTGTTATCCAGTATTATCAATTAGTAAAGTCTCAATGAAACCCGATATGATTTGATACATTTCGGTCTAATTTTAGAGTTGTTCTAATGAGATATTTACTTAATATCTCGAGATATATCTATTTATGTTTTGAATATTTGCATATTTTGTCGATTTTTTTAAAGAATTGTCTAAAAGTCATATTACAACGTGAAAGTGGCCTAATAACTAACAAACCTCGGTCGAAAATGCAATAGATCTAGTCGTTTTTTAGTTGATCAAAATTAGTTTTTGTACTGCAGGCCGTCCAATGGGCCTTGGGCACAAAAAAGTGTATGTGCTAGCACACACCGAACATGTCTTTCTTGATCTTCCCTAAGTCTTGCGCGAACATAGTTTTCATTATCAAATGAACTTACTTGTCTACTACATGTAATACCAAAATAAATTTGCTGATGCATCAATCAAATGTTTATTATTGTATTTTATTTATTATCCTTTAAATTTACTCCGATATGCCTGTCACAAACCAGGTGCCTTATCACCTAATAGGTAAGGAAGGATCGAAGACTAAAAGGTCGTTAAAAAAACCTGGATTCAGCTAGTCCGGCCGATAGTATACTGTGAGGGTCCTATATCCGTGAGATAAAATGTATAAAGAAAAAAACTGAGACGACTTGTTTAGAAATTCAGCCCATCGTGAGGTCCACGATAACAAGTTATTTATAACCACTAAATAATTGAAGAAAACAGAATGCTACAATTATTATAAGTTGGAACTCAAAATATCTAAATCACTAAACGGTAATCACTGGAAAGTACAAGAAGAGTGACATTTATTTGTAATGAAAGTCACAGGTACGTTATTCATTTGGTGGCAAAATTATCCGGAATCGATTCAGTGGTAAATAAATACTATAGGTAAGAAATATATTCAAATGAATGTCTGATCAAATCAATGCGATCCCTGATGTCCTCCGATTATTTGTTTCAGCGATGAATGTTTATTTTTTAAATAATTTAAATAAATAAACTTTTCGCTATTGGAGTGATGAAAACGCAGGCCAACCATTATGCTATGTCACTTTTTCGAGAGACTTCTTACGTCTAGAATAGAAGAAATGTTGACATACACCTCATCCTGCTACAAGGAGGATTTAGGTCTAGCAAATCCTGCACCCAACAGAACGTAGTTAAGGGAGTTTCGATAAAAAACTTAACGGGGGTTGCCTTAGTAGATCTGACAGCAGGTACAATGAGGTAAGGTATAATATATTGCAAATGAAAAGAGTGATATGTTTGTGCACACACAACAAATCAAAGAAAAACAAAATAAACATTTACTTTCAGATAGTATAATGACTGTTTCAATCACAGAGTTCTGTAAAATAACGCGCTATTTTTCGGTAGAAAACAAAAATAAGGGGGCAAGAATTTGGAAAGTAAACTTTACTGAATATAAGAAAATTTTGAAAGGTCTCATTTATACCAGTTTTAAGGTCGATTCAGACACATCAGTCACGTCTCGTCACAGTCCTGGCGCCGAACCGGACAATCCGTCATATAAAATATTCTTTAATAGAAAGATGGCGCCGGCATTCACATTCATCAGGCGACGAACAGTTTCCCTGCTGTCAGATAGTTGATAGTTCTGTGACCAAACACCACTGGTTCGGCGCCGAGACCACAGAATAATGAACAAACAGAATACCCACTCTCCACGGAAAATTAAGTACGCGCATCTCCTCCGCGCAGACGTTCCGCCATGTTTTAGGAGGATTTTAAGAAATTAGTGTTGTTTATGTGGTGTGCATGGAAAAATTAACCAGGTTTATTTGACTTAAGGCAATCATAGACATACTATACAATTATATTAACATTGTTAAATATAATAACATAAATACAATATAATTAAACATAAATATAAACAATTACATAACCACACAAATCATATGTCTGTGTCCTCCTAAAACATGGCGCGCGTGCTGAAAAACTTCAAAGGCGGCATCTGAGAGTGGCCCTTCTGATTGTTTATTATTCTGTGCCGAGACTATGACGGGACTAATGTGTCTGAATCGACCTTTATTTGTGATTTTATCATGGAATACTGAAGTTTGGGACTTTTGCTTAATCAACTTGTGACACGGTGACAACTGAACTCTACTAGTTTAGTACATAAAGAAAAAACATTGGGCGAAGAAAAGTTGTTTACTATAGACAGAACAATTCCATTGAAGTTTGAGAACAATTTTCTTAATAATAAATCTACGCACTTAAAAGAGTTTTAATTTAGATTTCTTATCTCCTACCAACACAATGTGGAACCACTTCTCCAACTCTTCAGGAATCAGATCTATGTAATTGTTTATTTCATTATCTTCAAAATAATATTCTTTGTTAATTCAGTAACATAGCCACTGCGCTACGGCTGCCACTTTTAGATGGTGACAACATGTCAATTCAATTCATAATATTGAAGATGGTAGGTACAGTTTAAATTAATAGCCTTTGATACTCACCGAAATATATGTTCTGGTTCTGTCGTGGAATTTCTTGTAATACAACCCAATGGGCTGTAGCATAGAATCATTTTTAAACAATATTTTACACTACAACCCGAAAGATTAACTAAGATTTTAAATTATGATGTAATCTAATTATGATTTAAAAATATACTCGTATAAGTAAAAATAATTATTTCTTGATCAAACCAAACTTTTGAATGTTTTTAAACTTCCAAAAAATCACTCTCACAAAATTTTATGTAAATATAAGAAACAAGTGAAATTTCAAATTTTGTTTACATTTTTTTGCCCCCTTATTTGTTTCACCTAGCGGGCAACATACGCACTATAATTTAAAAAATCTTATTTTTACAGAGTTCTACATCTAGTTTATTTAATATGGTTTCAATTACTGACAACTTTGGTATACGTTTGGGAGGGGATTCTCAAGGGTCTTAAAAATTTTTGGATATATGTCGGTAATCAAAAATATTCCTATATTTTTCTTTTTTACAACTCGTGTCAACCACAGATAAATTAAACCTAGATTAGTAAAAAGGATAGTCAAGGTCAACGCACGTTTTTATTTGTGCACCCTTCCATTTGGTGACATTGTTAGTCTCTTTTCTGCGCGTTGTTCATTGTTACCACAGATAAATTAAGCCTGGTGGATGGTGGAAGAACATTTTACAATTTTAGACTAAATTAGAGACTACTGCAACAGAAACTATAACAATTTTCATGAATGCGTCGCGCATTTATGCGTCATTTTAAAAAGAGGAGGATATAATCAAAGTTGGACATAGGGACACTAATAGAAGAACAGGCTTCTATTCACAAAAAACTTGGCATATTGTTTATTATTCTGTGGCATTAGAATAAAACAAAAGGTTGAGTTTACCGAAAGTACAAGCTGATTATAGCCGCAAATATCAAACATGAAACAAAAAATTTCTCGGTTTAGCAGTGTTGGCATGTTTTTATAATGTAGATGCTGTGTGCTTCAAATATAAAAAGATAAAGCTTTAGAAAAGTACATTTTGTTTATGTTATGAATTCCGCAATTTTTGATTTATATAAAACAAGAATGAGTAAATATTTGTTTATTTGGAAATTAATTGCAGTTAATTATTAGAATTTTTTTGCAATTAACTTATGATAGATTAGGGAATAGATCTGGCAGTCGTCAAATCAGCAGTTGCCAGATTGCCACAGATGTTTGCAATTATTCTGGAGAGAGACAAATATTTTACTCGTTATTGTTTCATATAAATTAAAAATTGCATAGTTCATACAATAGTATAATCAAAATGTACTTTTTAAAAGCTTTTCTCTTTATATTTGAAGTATATATGCATTCTAAAAACATTCCAACACTGCCAAACCGAAATATTTTAATTCTTGGGTTACATTTGCGGCTATATTCAGCTTGTACTTTCGGTAAACTCAACCAACTTGGTATATATCTTGTAACACGTCTCAAATGTCTTGTAACATGTTTATAAATAAAGATCTATACAGACTGTATACCATTTATTCTTTAATTTTTTGAACCACTCTGATATTTTAATGTTATGGAAAATAAATATAACCTCAACATAACAAGAAAATCCAATTAGTATAGGAAAAAAATATACACATATTATCGTATAGAATTGGGGTTTTTTATTATTTTAGTATTATATTGATTTTCCCTTACTTTAAAATGAGTACAAGAATAGTAAGTTTACGCGCCTTTTGAATTTATCGCATGTATATATAGTTACACACCCTGGCACTATGCGATACACCAATCGTTGTTTTACTCAGTAACACGGGACTGGCTCTGCTAGGTGGGAGTGTGCTGCGACACAGAATAATCGAATAATAAACAATCAGAACGCCCACTCTGCTTGTCAAGATAAGTACACGCATTTCGTTTGCGCCAACGGAATCAGCCATGTTTTAAACGGAACCAGTGCTGTTCAGTGCAATTTTATCTTGTGTGCATAGAAAATTAACCCGGTTTAATTTATTTACGGCAACCATAGACACTATTATATAATATACACTATTTTATTCGTACTTTTAGATTAAGAATAGATTAAATTATTTCAAATGTACTAAATTATTAATCTCTAAGAATTTAAATTACAGTTCTGTCGTAGCTTGCCACAAATTTCTCAATTCGACTCTATGTTTCCGTTTAAAATATGGCGATAGCGTGCTGACAAACTTCAAAGGTGGCATCTGAGATTGGGCATTCTGATTGTTATTTATTCTGTGGCTGTGATGTTCGGCCATCCCAATTAAAATTGTACAAAATAAAGAAAAGAGACAGTGGCTTGTTATACCTTTAATGCTGAGGTTCCTGATTGCTACGAACAACACAATACAAATAATCGTTCTCTATTAAATTCACATTTTTATCCATTTTCATTTTATTACAAACTGTTTTATTTTCTAAATAGTTAAAGAATGTTATACACAGTTTTTGAGCATCTTATATAAAAATGGCAGTCGGTTGTACCTAGATCGTCTCATTAATATAATAACTTTGAATATCTTTTATTAAAATGGTCCTTGACATAATAACTGTAAAAATTTCCGCTAATTTGAGTTCTAGTTACTAATTTAACATCTTCTAGATGCTTATCGAATTTGTCTAGTTTCCACAACGGATCACTTCGTTGTCTACATATCCTTTCTGCCCAGGTTTGGGCACGTGGAATATCCCTCCTCACTCCCCGTTTGCGACTGTCCAGTACCTCCATCACGTCATCGTAATAGTTCCTTCTATATTCATGGATGTATTTGTACGGTAAAAATTTGGGTCTGGAACAAAATAGAATATAGTTAGATGCCAAAGTTGAACAATGAAAAGCTAAAATAAAAAATAAAAGTTCCAAAATATATTTATATATAGTTATGTTGTCTCGACGTTATGCAATTTTGGCGAATGATCAGGAATCTAAATTAACATTTAGAGTATACCAAAAACCAATTGATTAAATTGTGATAGATTCACAGGGCGGTTTATACGAAAATTTTGTAGCGGAAACAATATATTTTTTAATTAATAAAGAAACTTCAAGATATCAAATATACTGCGCGGCGTAAGTTAGTAATATTTCCAATGTAATGGTAATGGAGTTTACTCTCAACTAAAGGTTGAGACCTTATAAAGATAATCAGACCAAAAAAACATTCCAAGTATTAACAAAGCCCCTTTCGAGCAATTTGAAAATGACGTTTGTTCTCTCAAATGGGATAGACAAATATAATTGAATCGGTGAGTGGTAAAACGATACAACTCCAAAAATTGACATTTTAAGCGAAGATGGCCAAATTTCTTTTTAACTATCGATCTATCTGCTGAGTCGAAGAACCGTACAATATCCGTTAAGTATACGCTTTAAAAGCGAAGTACAATTTGGCATTGAGTGGAATAACGATACAACTCTCACTTGTACATCGTTCTTACACTCCATATTGCGTATCGCGCATCATCGGCTGCAGTCACCTGATTATTATTATTCATTATTTAGTCTTGATCGTTGCAGTGTAAGCAGCTTGTGATAATTTAAGGTTTTATCAGTATTTGAGAAATTTAAAATGTCTAGTAGTGAAAATTCTGATACGGAGAGACTACAAAATAACAGGAAAAGAAGGTGTCCAGAAACTTGGAAGAAAAATGAAAGAAAGAATGCTTGTCTTCTTGGACTTCAATAGACAACTGCAACTGGAAAAGTATTTAAACAAAATGGTCGTCGAAACAGACTGCACGTAAGTATAATATTATTTTTTAATAATAATGGTTTGTAAAGAAAAAACACTTTAAATTCTGGTACTTCTGACATTCGACAGAAAATGTAAATATTCCTAAGCTTATGTTTATTCTTATTATCGGGCAGAAGGTTTGGTTTCATAAACACATCCAAAAGTTGTACCAAACAAAAAAACTTCTAGATATGCAAGCATGTATTTAATTGAACCCCAATTATTTAAAGTTAGTCTACTATACCTCAACTTTTTTTGACACAACCAATGAAAAATGTGCTGTTTTAAAGACTTTATATGGAGAAGGTTCAAAAGACGAACAATATGTCTATTTGCAAGGATTAATGTAATGTAGGCGTGTAACCAGGAAGCGACCAAAGAAAGAAGCTGGGGAAAAACCGAAAAAAATACGAAATACTTTGGAAAGGTATCACGTATGTAAAACAGCTTTTCTTAATCCCCATTCGATCTCGAACTCTAGATTACAACGGCTAAATAAATTGTGTGTTTCCTAAAATTCTGCTAGAGATCTACGTAGTAGATCGGCCTAAACGTTAATATTATGTATAACCTATTTATAAAACTACACCCAGACTTAGCACGAACAGTAAAATATGAATTTTATTTACAATTTTTTAAAGAAAATTTGATATTGAAATTTAGGCGGCCTCAAATTGGTGTTTGCGGACAATGCGAAGCCTTGGGCACAAAACTTAAAGATGTGAATTTAAACTAAAACGCAAAGAAAGTTGCCGCTGCCGAATTAGTAGTCCACAAAGAGCTAACAAATTTTACTCAAAACTTAAGGAAATCTCTACCTTGTGCCATGAAAGAGATGTTAGCGGAATAGTTTTTGACTGTATTCCAAATATGCCCTTGCCTGTTATACCTGTTCAAAAAATGTTTTATTACAGTCGTGGGTTCGAAATACACGATTTAAAAAACGGTACTGGACATTTTTATACATACCATGAAGGACAAGCAGCGAAAGCCCCCAATGAGGTATGTATGTTTGTTAATGATTATGTACCAGAAAATGCCAGCAGAGATTCAAGAGCTCCAGATATTTTCTGATGGTTGTCCGGGCCAAAACCGGAACAACATTGTAGTCAGATATTTATTAGCTCTTGCAGCTTCAAAGCGGTTTCGTAAAATTTTTCACTACTTCCCATTGTGTATAAAGATGATGCTGTCTTGTCGCAAATTAAAGCCCTTTACTATTTCAACAATGTTATAAAGACATACTTGACTACAAAAATTGGTGGCCGAACCATTACAAAAAATCACCCAGTCTTCCGATGAAACAAAAGATAAATTAACAATATCACATTATAGGCAATTTGCTTATGATAGTTCTATAGTGTATTTTTATGTATGAGAGAGTAATAAAACAATAAATTATGTATGCAAATCCCTAAACTGTTGATACGGGTGACTCAATGAAAAACAGATATATGTCAACAAGTTTACAGAAGTATATAGGAAAACAATTTTAAATTGAGTATGACCACCAGGTATAAAGATTGGAGCAGAATAGAATACAATAGTTGTGAGGGTTACTAATCCCTAAATAAGGTTGCCAGTGTCGGAGTGATGGAGGTTAACAGGTACTAATGAATTTGCAAGAAATGTAAGATGTTTATTTTATTGGTTATATATAACCAATAAAAGTTTAATAAGTACCTACCTATTTGCAAAATAAAGTTTAATTCTTTAGATAAAATAAAACGTTTTATTTTATCTGAAATGAGTGCATTCCACGAAGTAAGGGTTTCAACAATCAAACATTTAATTCTTTAATTCCAGGAATCTACGACAGTAATTGACTAGATAATTACCTTCTAAACTTATTCCACAGAAAATGTGATAGTGGGTTTTTCCATTTTGTAGGAAGGTCCAAGTGGCGTATTCAAAATTCTTAACAGTTCACTAAAAGTAGGTACTTCAGTTGCAAGGTGCAGTTTATTGTGTATACTAGTGTTATGGAAAATTTGGAAGTGCCGTGTAAACGCCGAAAAATTGGTCCTTTAACAGTTAATGAAAATCATTTACAGACAATCGTTTATGTGAAAGTGTTGATGAGACCGTTGAGTTAGTTAGCAGTACACTTGGTGTTGGGAAATCTACGATTTACAGAGTTATTAAACAAGAGAAATGTGGTAGTTTTCAAATGCCACGTAATGCTCCAGGGAAACCAAAATTTCAAATAGAATATCATTTTAAAGAAGGACTTCGACGGAAAGTGCATGAATTCTTCTTTAGACAAGAATTTCCAACATTGGATAAAGTTCTTGTCTCAGTTCGAGATGATAAGGATTACCCAGAAATGAGTCGAAGTACGTTATGGAAACTTTTAAAAGAAATAGACTTCCGCTGGAAATAGAATCCCAGAAAGTCTATTTTATTAGAAAGAAGCGATATTGTCATATGGAGAAGACATTTTCTAAGAACCATAAAGGAAATGAGAAACCAAAAAAGAAAAATATTTTATCTTGATGAAACATGGATCAACGAGGGTCATACACCAAATAAATTTTGGCATTTTTGGGACGCTTTTGTAAATAACTTATGTACTGGTTTAAACCCACCATCAGGAAAGGGACGCAGGCTGATAATAGTACACATTGGCAGTTCAGACGGTTTTGTTGAAGGTGGTTTATTAACTTTTGAATCAACTCGTACCGGTGACTACCATGAAGACATGAACGCTGATGTCTTTCAAGAATGGTTCGAACAAATGATAGATCTTCTTCCTAAGAACTGTGTAATAGTAATAGATAATGCAAGTTATCTCTCCAGACTTATAGAAGGACTGCACACAAGCAAGTGGTTAAAAAAAGACTTGCAGAATTGGCTGAGTTCAAAAAATATTACGTACCATCCCGGATCTATAAGAAAGGAACTTTATTCGTTGTGTGCCCTCCATAAAGAAAAATTTTAAAAATACGAAATTGATGAAATTGCCAAAAATCGTGGAATGACAGTACTTAGATCCCCACCATATCATTGTGAATTAAACCCGATTGAACTGGTATGGGCACAGATAAAGAGTGAAGTTTCAAGAAAAAATACCACTTTTAAAATTCATGATGTTAAACAGTTGTTTTTGGAGGCCGTAAATAATGTAAAACCTGAAAACTGGGAAAAGGCAGTAAATCACACTATTAAAGAAGAGGAAAAAATGTGGAAGCTGGACAATATTACTGATAAAATGATCGAGCCAGTTATTATAAATCTTGGTTCTGAAAGTTCATCTTCTGGATCTGATTTGGATTTGTAACAAGTAGCTGTAAGTTTTATATTAATATTTTTATTCATCTATTTAACATACCTTAGACGGTTTTAAAAACTCTTTTTCTCTTTTGTAATTTTTAAAAATTAAAAAAAAAAATGTGAATTTTTTAAAACCCTTTTTAATGTAGGCCAGTCAGTTCTAATATAGTGTGTGATAAAAGAGGTCACTTTTGTTTACATACACATAACACTTTATAACACTGAAATAATTCATTTATTTTTTACAATTATTCAAAGTAATTTTTCAATTAATCTTGAGCACGCCCATGGAGTGGTCGAAGGTACCAGTTAAAATTATGCTAATTACTCTCTCGTTCATAAAAATAAACTATACACCAATTTAGTCAAACCTAAAACAACCCAAATTTTACCAACCAATCCTGCGTACACAAAAACATTACCAATCAATATAAAAAATTGATAATCTTAAAAATGTAATGCAATACATGACAGGAGAAGTTTTGGAATTTTATTATCACATTACGTCATGGGAAAGCACCAATCTTGACGATGAGGCGACTCAGGAAGACCAATAACTACCATTTCTTTTAGGTCCTTTCAAAAATGATAATGCTTTTACGTTCTAAAAACCTATATGGCCAAATATCTTACAAATAATACACGTTTGTTCAAATTTGTTGTTTTATTTTATTAATAACGTAAATATGTCAACGCATTTTTATTGTTGAGTGGAAAAACGGTATAACTCCAAGTGACGTTTGGGCGCGCATGTTGTTTATTAAAAAACAAAAATAAATTTT